CTGGTGGAAAAAAGTCCCATTTGAATACAGAAAGAATGAAACTCCAGGGAGGGAATCAAAAATGTTTAAACTGGGGAACAGCAAATGAGACTGGGAAGCAGATGAGACCATGAGCTGCAGGAGAATGCTGGATCTGTTTGGGAGAGGGGCTACAGCTGCTGTAATAACTTGGGACAGCAGAGCAGGAAGACTGGAAGCAGAAAGCAGGGCTGGCTGTGGCAGTGAGGAGGGGAATGGGAAGAGCAAAGGCATGGTGACTAGAGATGGGGAATGGGCAGAGCGCAGAAGGAGTGATTGTCAGAGGCACAGGGAAAGGGGATGGGAGGAACTCACCCATCTTCCTGGGTGGTGGGAATTTCTAGGGACAGATGATGGAGGTGACCTCCCATCATCCATCCAGCTGCAAAGGAAGGCTTGTACTGGCAGCTTGCTTGAAGCAGGACAGCATGTGGTGGGAAGGCTAGGACTGACTGGCCAAGGACTTACAGCTGAGCTGGCCTGCTACTGTCTGGGCAGGATACTGGGAATACAGTGGGAGAAGAAACAGGGAAGGGCAAGTGAGGTGGACCTGAAAGGGGGCAGTGGCTGAGCCCAGAGCCCAGGGCTTCCTGACAAGAAGAGAAATTAGAAGCAGGAAAGCATGGAGGGGACAAGGGAATGAGGGAGGACCATATCAGCTTGTGCTTCTGGGACTGGAGACTTCTCCAGTGTCTGAACAAGGGTCTTCTCCTAAGTCTTCCTCCCAACTCTTACTGTTCCCATGCTGTTACACCAAATGCCACATGACAGCACATGTCACCTCTTGCTAATCCTGCTCCTTGCTGAGGACAACAGGCAATTGCTGCTTGCTGTTATATCAGAATACACATTTCTCATCACTGAGAAATGTCAGCACCAAGGCTGGCTGTACAACTGCCCTTCAATGTCCTCGTGCATATGAATTACGGTCGAGTCTTTAATTATGTGGCCACAGATTTATTTTCCACAGGACACCTGCAGCACACAGGTTAGATGGTGTTCTGGATGAGTCTGGGCTGTGTCACGAAGAAGGCTCTTTACAGGGACTCAGCATCATCTCTTCTTTCTGTTGTGTTGTTTTTTTTTTTTCTCTCAAAAGTGTGAAGACAAAGGAGTGACTCATTGCTGAGGCAGTTGTGCGCCGGCCTGGATCCTTGCCCCTGCTGCGGATTTCCTACCTGATGCTGAGCGAGTCACTCACAGCAATCTTTTCAGAGGTAGCTATTAGCTATGTTTTATTTATTTTGGCATTTTGCTTTGTTTTTAGCCTTGTGCTATCCTGGGATCCTGATGTCTCATTTGCAGGAGTATTTATTGCTCCCTGCTGCATGTGAAGAGGGATTTGCACCTGACTCTAGAAAATGCTTTAAACTGCAGAGCGCTCTGGTAAAGTGCTCAGATCAGCATCCCCATCTTGCAGGCTGCATTTGACCTTCTCTCCAGGAATGCTGGATCTTCTCTAAAATGCTGCTGTATTGCTCAGTATGAGTATTGAAAAGGCAAATCTATTATTATTTGTGAAGTACTGAGAAACTAGGTGTATGTTGTATAAAAGAGACCCTATGAACACTGATCACTGTTTTTGGAGTGGGGGATGCATGTTCTGAATGAGCTGTGAGTCAATGCTTTGAAGAACTCTGTCAGCCCTGTTGGACGTGTCAAGCCACAGGTTGACAGGTACCTTCCTCCTCAGGTACCTTTGCTCTTGAATTGCAGGTGGCAATGTGTTTATTCTTGCTTCTCATCTCTTCTTACTTTCACTGGCCTTAGAGAAGTAGAACTTCAGCACAGTGTCAAAGTTTTCTCTGCTCTTTCCCTGATTGCTCACACTTCCCCAGCACACACAGGTGTCTCTGTAGCAAACTGACCTTGGTCTTCAAAGCAGTTTGTCCTTCTCCACAGAGTGGGTGAAATGGGATTCTGCTCTTTGTTGATCAGGCCGAGCTGCCAAATGCGACCTGGCAGTTCTCTGAGGTCTGCTAGGTCACTGGAGCTCAGCTTTCCCATGAGTTTTACTAGGTGCTATGAATATCATATACCGTGACTCTGGAAGGCCACCCACCCAGCCGTGACACTGTGAATAAACAGCACAACTCTTGCCCTTCTCTTCTTTTCCTACCTGAGGAATTACATGATGGGCAGCGGAGAGGCTGGCTGGGCGCCCAATGAGGTATAGCCCCCTTGGATACACTAGCTCACAAGATTCAGCTCAAGATATGTTGCTGTGGGTTCCCTCTACAGCGCTGCAAAGAGAACACTGGGGACAGCCCAAGGATTTGCATGTGAATAGGATAGCAGCCAAATGTAGCCCATCTTCTGCTTGCCTGCCTTCAGCAGCAGCACTCCCTGTATCTTCTAGGGGTGCTTTGCCAACATCTGAATCTTGTGAAAGGTAGACATGAGGTGTCCCACGTGCAGGGCCCCCGGCTGCTGAGCTGATGGGCTTGGACTCTCTTCCATGCTCATGCAGCCAAAGATCCCTTCCAGGCAAACCAGGGAGATAGGACAAGGTGAAGCCTCCTGGGGCCTCATCCAGGAATGGTGTTTTGAATGTGTGAGCTGTGTCTCACCACTGGGTCTGGGGGGTTACATAGCCTGCACCTGCAACAGCACCTGTGCTGTTGTCTGAACAGTCTTAGTGTGCCTTGGTTGGTGCCTAATACAGTGCTATCTTTAGGGGCTGTTCCTCTTTGGAGAGGTGCACAGAGAAGAAAAGGTGCTGCAGCTACCCACCACTTTGATCACTGGGAGTTATGGACATATGGCCCAGCAGATTTTGTGTGCATGGATTCTGCTTGTCCCTCAAATTCATTCCCTCTCCAACCCAACCCCGGCTGGCCTCTCTCTAGCTGGGATCCTGCTGCTTGTGTCATATATAACTTTCTTTTTCAGACAACTGGGGCAGAAGTTATCTGTTGCACTGCTGGAGCACTGACATCCCCAATGGAGACGGGGTCCCTGCAGTACTGGCTGCTACAAGCATAGCCAAAAGCAGCAGCCCCTGGCCCAGGCTCCCCTGTAAAATTTATAAGAAGAGGAGTAACTAGGCAATGCTTGGAGAGAGGTGGGTGTTAATAGATCACATGGCTAGCCAGCACTAAAAGCTTGATTACAATTCAATTAAAGGAATGTTTCTAATTAAAGAGTTCTTATTTTAAGCTGTCAATGATTAAAATAAAGGTAGCTGAAGTGTCCGTACACACTCCAATTTCGTCCCCAAGGGCTGCATCTACGTTGGGGATTTCTTCAAATTCCCTCCCGCTGCCCTCAGTCAGCAATAGGGGGTGAGTTGGCATGGCCACAGTCCTCCCAGACCTTGCACCTGCCTCCCAAGCAGTGTCACCCCAAACTCTGCTCCCACGAGGCATGCTGAGAGCTGCTTCTCCTGGATGCTGATTCAGATCCATCCTTCCCAGCTCTGTATCAGAGCCCACCTCTCTCAGTGCCTGTATGAGTCTTCCACTTGCAGCAAAGTCACGAGTGGTGCTGGGCTTTGGCAAATCCCTTCTCCGATGTGCACCCACCCAGGGAAGGAGAGCAACCCTCAGCTGGATCCAGCAGTGGCTGCATATTATTACCTGCCTTCCCATCTGCTCACTGTTACATAAGCTGTGAAAAAACAGAAGCTCAATGGAGCATGTGTAAGGAAATGTCATTACTACGAAAAACTCAATTAAATTTTAAATTCTCCAAGTGCAGGCAAAGTTCTGTAATAAAGCAGGCCCAGCAGTGAGAGAGGGAAACAGTACAGGTTCCCACAGGTTTGCATAAACGAGGAGCAATTCCCAGGTCTCAATGGGAATTGTCAGCACAAGGACTGGCTGGCAGTGGCATTCAGAAGGTTGCAGCCTCCCCCATCTTGATACAACTTGGAGCAACGACTGCTCTCTGCAGCAGACAGTACCAGCATGGCTGCAGCTTGGGCCTCTTGGTGCCGACAGTCTGTGCTTACGTCCTGTATTTGGAAGCTGACATCTGGGGCCTGGCTTAGAAGCACCTAAGGGCTCTTCTGGTATGGGGGCTCCTGAGCTCTTCCCCATCACACTTACTGCAGCTGGAGGAACTGCGGTTCTTGACCTTGGGATCGCTGTGCTGGAGCTGCTCCTGGACCCTGGCGAAGCATCCTGGTGCCTCCAAAGCTGGGCAGCATCTGGCTCTTGCTTCACAGGACCCTCTGTCCCTCCCAGCTCACACTACACTGGCCTCCAGCCTTTCCTGCAGTCCTGCTCCCAGAATTCTCAACAGCACTTCCATCCTCTTTTGCACATCCAGCTCCAATCTCCCAGAAGCCCCCAAGAAGTTCCCCAGCCTGGGCTCTGTTCCTACACCTCCATGTCGGTCTGATACATCCCGGCTGCTCCCCCTGATTCAGCTGGCTTTCAGAGGTGCTCTGGGGCTTGCTGTGCCCACCTCGCCCCCAAATACCCCAGGGCCTGGGGGGTGGATGCAGCTTTGCACCCATCTGTCGGTGGGTGCCTCGTGGACTTGTCAGTGCACATTAGGGTTTATGCGTGTGCTTCCTAATTCGTGGGGATTTGCAGGTGCTTCACCCAAGGGGCATGCTCACTCCTGAGGGGCGTGGGCTGAGGAACCCCGAACACTGTGGGGCCTTCTGGGCCTTCCTGACGGACCCCTGCTTGACATCCGCTGCCAGCGCGATGGGACCCAGCACCCTGGTTTGATCATCCCCACGCGGGGCCACCGTGCTGTGGGGGGCTGCCATGGGTGGGCTGTTGCTCCACTCTGAGAAGAAACCTCCTTTTTTGGGGTCGCGGCCCTCAAAACCGAGCCCGTGCGTGCCTGCCCCGCTCGCCGGAGCTGAGGGACGGCGGATGGGAAGGCGTCGGGAGCGGCGGCGGCTGCGCCTTTAAGGGCGGGCGGAGGAGGAGGTGGAGAAGGAGGAGGGCCGGGGCTGCGCTGGGTGACATCAGTGGGTTTGGCTCCGGGGCTCAATGGAAACTGGGTGAGCGCCGGGCTGTGCCGAGCACACGCCGGCTGGAGGGGACGGCGAGCGGGCGGGAGGCGGCAGGCAGCGCCGCGCCGCGCCGAGCCGAGCGAAGGAGGGACGCGCCGGGCACGGCCGCCACCAGCCCTCCCCAATCCTCCGTCATCCTCCCCGCCGCGGCCGCCTGGCCCCCTGACAGCCGGCGGAGCAGCATCCCCACACGGCCCCCTTCCCGTCAGGGTGGGTATGGGGGGCGGCCGCCCGCATCTTGGGGCGCAAACCCCGGGGGAAAGGCGGCCCCTCCGGCTCTTTGTGTGCGCGGAGGGAGGGGGAGGGGGCGGGGGAGGGGAGGGCAGGGCGCGATGCGCCGGGCCGGGGGGCGCGAGGGACAAAAGCCCCTTTGTGGGGGCGCGGGGAGGGGATCCCCCCCTTCGCCATCGGCACATTTTTGGGGGGGGGTTCCCCCCTTCTCCCCTTTCTCCGCCTGCCGGGGCCCTGTCTGGCTGCCGGTGGCGGGGCCGGGCGGGGAGGGGGGTGCCGTGTGTTCTCGGCGGGGGTCTGCGGGGGTCCCGGCGGGGGGCCGCCCCCCGGGGGATTTAGCCCCCCACTCCTCCCGTTCGCTGATGCTCCTGGTCTCTCTCCCCGGCCCCCCTCATCGCCTCTTTCGAGGGAGAAGGGGTGTCTGCGTTTGGGGGCCTGTGGGGCCGTGTTTCCTCTTGTGGGGGCCGGTAGGGGCGGGGGTCGATGGCCGCGGCCGGGTGCGAGTTGGGGGACGAGGCGAAGTTCAGCGCCGTTCCCGGGGGTGGCAGCTTTTTGTTACCTATCCGGAAAAATAACAGCCCGGGTACGGCTGTCTTCGCGTAGTGTTTGCCTGTAGGGGGTGGGGGTGTAAGGGACGTATTTATTATAATATTTTTTTTGTGTGTGCCCCCCCCCCCTTCCCCTTCCCTGTTTTCCTGTTGTGGCTGTTTCTTCCTCAAATGTAGTTCAAATGCTCTGTGCTTGGGATTTCTTTTCTCCCCCCATCTTATTTCCTGGTCTCCTTTTTGTAAGTGTCTAAGGGTCTGGAGGGGATTTGTGTTTTGCATTTCAATCAAAATGTATTTTTTTTTCTTTTTTCCTTCATATTTTTAAGCCAGTTCAAATTACTGTTTTCCCAGTCTCATCCTTTTTTTCCCTTCAAACACCGCCTCCCCCCTCCCCCCAAAAAAAACCAAAAAAGCCGTGTAGAGCCTTAATGGTCTATGGGTAAGGCAGCCCCCACTCCCCACACTTCCACTCAAAGCCGGAGCTGGGATCGGCAGCCTCCATTATGGAGCCGTGGGTTTGGTTTTGTATGGTTTTTGCTAGACAGGGCATCTTTTCATTCCCGACCCCCTCGGGTGGGACAGAGACGTCCCTTCTGTCCCCCCCCAGCCCCTCTTAGGCCCACCCCAAGATGGTCCCCACATCTTTGGTCGCCATCGTTGCTGGCACAGCAGTGTGATATCAACTCTTATCGTGTGTTTATATAATGGCCTTTGTGCCTGTACGTGGGTATTTTATATTATATAAAAAGGGGCTGGTGCAAAATGGTGTGTGTGGGGAAGCAGCAGCGCTGGCGGCTGGATAGTATTATTATTTTTTTTTTGAGGCTGTGTAGTATTGGATATTCACGTATGCAAACGCTCATGCAGAGCACACTCTCGCTCTGAGGTTGTATGTGTGTTAATCCCTTATGGAAAACTAAATGGTTTAACTAAATGATTGCCCTGCAGCCCCTGGGAATGCTGCCTTGGCTGTAGAGTGCACAAAGGGTGGCAGGACTGTGGAGGGGAGTTAAAGCCTTGGGGGGGGGGGTGTGAAAAGGATGGATGTTTTTTTAAATTTTGCATGTATAAATAATACATAGAGGGGTGATATAAATTTAATATATAAATTAATATATATTTTATGGGTACAATTTTCTTCCTTTTTGTAACAGTAGACCTGAAGATCAGAAGATAAAGGGCAGAAGCTGTAGATGGTGGTGGGGGTACGCGTGTGAAGTAGAAACAAATGGGATAGATGTTTGAACTCCTGGAGCAGTTGTTGAGGGGGTGGGATGTGTGTGTCCTGCCCTCTTACCAGGAATCCAGGCTCTCGCTCTCTGGCTATCCTCCGCCCAGGTTTTCTACTCACACTTGTGTATGTATGTGTGTTGGGGGGGAGATAAGGCAAAATGACAGCTGTGCGAGACCGTGATTTTTTTTTACTCCATTATCCTGCTTCCCGCTTCCACCCCCGCGCCCTGGAGCATTTTTTAGATTCCCCTTTGGAGCCTGTTGCTTAATCAGCTACAAGGGCCGCTGCCTCGTTGTGTGAGAAACTCTTCTTAACCTGGTACCTGCCTGTCCTAGAAGGGTGGGTCTGAATTTAGGTTTGGGACTGTGGCATTGCAGAGCGGTACCTGCTGTGTCCTGGTGCAGAGCAGACCCCACCGGAACCTCTTGCCCGGTCTCTGCTGTGTGCTCAGCTGTGCTTGCCCCACCTGGAAATTGGACTCAAGTGGAAGTGTTTGGGGCTCACAGGCCTGGGTAAACACTCCATGAAGGAAGGAGGACGGAGAGCTGTCTTGACAGTGGTGTGACAGGTTCCCGGGGACAGAGACCTTTGATCGTTTATTGGAGTAGGAGTGTAAGCAAGTCAGATGTATGTTAATGTGGTTATACAGAACAGCAGGCAGCGGATAAAAATCATGTCTGTTTGCTGCGCCCTCACCCAGGTATGCCTGCCTCCTGGTTCAGTTCCCAAGGCTCTGCCTACATTCCTTGTAGTAAGAAAGTCAGAAATAGCCACAGGGTTTTATAGACTTTAGATGCACAGAAACCCACAGGCATAAGCAAATACTAGGTGAGGGGACTCCACCTCTGAGTGTTTTGTGTGTGTGGTTTCAGGTGACTGCAGCTCTGCTTTCAGGGTTCACAATGTCCCCTGAATGCCTTGATAGGATTATTTCCCTGTACATCTCCGCAGCCCGTCCATTCTTCTTTCTGTAATCCCATCTCCTGGGGCAGGAGAAGCAGCTCTGGGTTTATAGTATGCCCAGAATCCTGTAGCTGGGATTATTTTTTTTGTACTTCTCTCTCACAAGGCCAGTTTTCCCTTCTTTCCTTCAGTGATGCTTTCTTCCCACCAGGCTCCAGCAAGGGAAAGTTCCTCGCACCCACTTGTGAAAACATGAATCATTCCTCACCTTTCCTGTCCCCAACAGGCTCTGTGTCTGCATTTTGTACGCTAATAATGTGGCATCGCATAAATTAGGACTGTGGCAAATCCCTGTAAAAGGAGACACATTGACTGTCTCGGGAAGAGATGTGGTTCCTAGAATAAGTTGGCGGCCATAGAAGAGGCAAGGGAAAGAAGAGGGAACTGCTGGAGCTATGTTTGGCCGAGGTGTTTGCAGCAGAAGTTGAGGTTGGCAAGAGAGAACAAACCCTGTGGCTGTGGTCCTTCCACCTAGTTGGTTTTCTGTGGCAGATGAGTAGGCTGAGCCTGGGCATGTTGATGGGGTGTATCAGGTCAAAGGGTTAGCTAATCATCTCAGGTAAAAGGATGAGGAAAGGCCTGAGCTGCTAAAAACAGCTGGCCAACCCAC